ATGGTAGTTTACTCTCTCAACTGTCAACCAGACAGACAGTCAGTAATCTCATCCGATATTGTCGCCCAAACGACAACCACGAGCACAATCTTGGAGTGGCTATCGTGATGTCTCCAAGATTATCGAAGGCTCTCATGCAGTGGGAAACAATCCCCTCAATGATTAGGATCATGATAAAAATGTTCAACTCAAAAGGAAGGAAATTCTCAATTGTACAGTGCTACGCTACGCACCTACAAATAATGCATATCAATAGAAAAAAGGAGGAATTCTACAGACAACTACAATCAGTGCTGGACAAAACCCACCCCAGTTGGCGACATCAAAATTCATTCTAATGGGTGGCATGAATGCCAAACTCAGAGCAGACAACACAGGAAGAGAACCAGTCATGTGTCGAGAAGCACTCGCTGAAATGAATAAATACGGAGAACTGTTTGGAGATTTCTGCGCATTCAACGATTTGGTGATTGGAGGCAATGTACACAAACACAAGGATATTCAAAGCGACATGGACTTCACCAGATGGACACACTAAAAATCAGATTGACTTCATCTCAATACGAAGAAAGTGGAGACGCAGCCTACTGGACACAAGATCATATGAAGAAGGGGAGCAGAGTAGGTTCACACCATTTTTTGTCTACTGCATGGAATATTCAAATCAAGTTGAAAGCCTTCAAAGAAGCTGGTGATGGACCACAGTTCAAGTTGAACACTCAGACAGAAACTGAAGGACGAAACCACAAAGGACATCTACACGTCAGTCATGAGGACAAAATAGGAGATATCGAGCAACATCCCCGAAGGAACCTGCGTGGAAGAACACTGTTACTCTTTGAAAGAGGTGTGGAAAGAAACCTGCATAACAGTATTAAGAAGAAAGAAAAAACAGGAGAAGGGATGGATCTCGACGAACTCATAGAAGCTGATAGAGGAGGGATAGGAAGATGGTGAAGCAAAAGATGAACCAGTGCAGTACAAGAAGGAACAACGTAATGAGGAACTGAACACAACCTATAAAACACTACACTGGACAAAGAAGTGAAAAAGAGTGCGCGGAAAGGTAACAGACACTTATACGACACACTGGGAAGCGAAGCAGAACAGGCTGCTGGTAGGAGAGTGACCGGCAACACTGTCAAATAACCAGGTTACTATCTGGTAGGGAAGAGATCAACGCAGATGAAACCAGTGAGAGATGGTGAAGGAAACCTAGTTACAGCCAAAGAGAAGAAACAGAGGAAACGATGGACTGACCACTTCAAAAAACTCTTCAATCAACCACCACCACCTGGAACTCGTCCAGAAATACCACCAGCAGCCAGCCATGGAACTATTAGTGAACATAAAGCCTCCGACCAAAACAGAAGTGAAGTCCTGAACGCCATAAGGTTGGTGAAGTCCAGGAAAGCAGCACGACCACATGGGACTTCTCCTCTAGAAGCACTGAAAACATACGCAGAGACAACAGTGGGCATGCTCACACCACTATTGCGAAGGTTTGTAATGAAGGAAGGGAAGGTACCTGCCGATTGATTGGAAGAAGGGCTAACTTGTCAAACTCCTAACGAAGGGAGAACTAAGTCTTTGCAAGAACTGGCGTGGAATCGTGCTGCTGTCCATCCAAAGCAAGCAAAATATTAATCCGCACTATCATGGAGAAACTGAAAGATGTGCTGAATTCGAAATCACGACCGTAACAGGCAGGCTTCAGGAAGAACAAATCATGTATTGATCAAATTGCGACGCTGTGCATCATCATAGAGTAGAGTATAGAATGCCAGTCTACTCAACTCTACCTCAACTTGATCGACTTTGAAAAGACCTTCGCCAGCGTCGGTGGGGAAGTAATTTGGCAGATAGCTGCTTCAACACTACGATTTTAGTGCCGCAAACCTTCACCAACCTCATTTAACAGCTATATGAACACACTACATGCGAAGTGATTTAAATTGAAAAGCTCATTAACGTCTTTGAAGGGAAGGCAGGAGCAAGACAAGGCTGTTTACTATCACCCATGATGTTCTTGTTTGTGGTCGACTGGATCATGCAGCAAACAGTGTGGAGCGAGAAGAGGGGAATACGCTGGACCGGGGTGAAGGACCTAGAAGATTTGGATTTCGCCAATGACTTGTGTCTAATGTCGCACAAACTTGAAGATCTACAGGCAAAAATCAACAAGTTAACCTCCTTCAGGTGAACTCAGAAGACAGAGATGATGAAGATACCCAACCAACAACAACAATCACCAATAACCATGAAGTGGAGAAACCTAAAGGAAGAAGTCTCTTGCACTTACCTAAGCAGCATCGTTTCAACTATAGGTGGCACAGCTGAGGATGTCAAGCCAGGATCCTAAAAGTAAGACAGATCTTCATTAACTGGAAATCAGTGTGGAGATCTACTACACTCAGCACAAAGAACAAGATCCGGATTCTCAACACCAACGTCAAGTCAGTGCTTTTATATGGCTCAGAAACTTGGCACGTTACGAAAATCATTCCCAACAAACTACAGACATTGATGAACAGCTGCCGCCTACGCTCACTCGATACTGAAGATCAATCAGATGACCAGAATAATAAGAATAAGCACCAAGGAACCCTGGCTAACTGGCTGTCAACGAACCAACCAACCAAGAACCCATCGTCCAACAAATATGCGGAAGAAAGTGGAGATGGATTAGGCCTACACTGAAAAAATCATTCGGGAACCTCACTCGCCAGGCCAGGCACTCGAGTGGGATCCAGAGGGGAAACGACGAGTTGGGCGTCCGAGATGAGAGTAACATGAAGGAGATGGTGTGAGGAAGAAGTGAAAGCTTATGGGCAGTTATGGAGCCAGGTTGAAAAGACTCCAGAGAAAATAGTGAAGTGAAGATGTGCTACTGAAGCCGTATGTTCCAGTGGGAACCCAAAGGACAAGTAATAGTAATAATAATAACGATACTGAAAGCTTCACGATTATAATACCTATCTCACAGAACACAATGTGACGGAAAGAGAGAAACTTCATTTGGATTGTTTTCTCTGCTATTGTTACTATTCTCATATCATGAGATGTTTGTTCTACTTTGCCTCCATTTCTCTCTCATTTCATTTTATATTGGCAAATTTCTTTTAGCTTAATCTATCAAGTCTTCCTTGCATACTAAATAGCATCAAATGTTTTGGTGTATTATTTGTTAAAAACTCAGAAATGTACAGAATCTATAAGACATTTTTCTCACCTTATTATTGCATTGAAAATCTGTATACCATTGAAACTTGTCAAGAAGCCTGTGTCATTATGCTGTATGTAACATACCTGTCTTGTTTACAACAAAATTATGATTTTTTTTTGTTCAAACTAGAGTAAACAGTAAATGACGTAATTTATTACAACTTGTCAACTATATACAGAATAAAGTATAGATTTTTAACCAGCATTATAATCTTTCAGATAATGGTTTTATCCAGTTGCTCAACTCATGCTGAGTTCAAGGTCGTAGCCAAATGCTATCACAATTGAGTACCAAAGTTCTTAAAAATAAAGCAAAAACATCTATGTTTATACACTGGTAGCAGTTATAGTTTACTGATTAGAATCAAAGTTTTGAGGTTTGCAATTCACAATACTTACCCTTTTTTTCTTTCTAAGTAATTGAAGAATAATTATACAACTTGATTTTCCCCATACTTCAGGTTGGTATTCATCATGGCTTAACATCAGTTGGGGATAGTTGAAAGTTTAGAAGCACTGAAAAGGTGTTTCATCCTAATATAGAACTTCTTAGCAGTATGCACCCATGACCCCATCCAGAGGGTGAATTCAGAACTTCCAGGTTTCGCAATGAAGACGTTGCCCTTGAGCCATTGGGTTGGATTGTAATGGTCCACATTATCCTTTCAATTCACAAATTATTGATTTTATTCATACATAAAAATGTGTTTTAAACTAATGGCTCTTTTTGGCGTATGAAAAAATTGTTGGATTAAAGTTAGTGTTTCTTTTGAGGAAAAAGAATGCAGTTAATCCTGACTTGTAGATGTTTATGAAAGACAACATATGAAGCTTACAGGTATTAGAATATTGATGTATTCTAAGAGTTTCGCTTTAGATCTGGGAAACTGATTATTTGAAGGCCTAGATGATGTGATTTAATATCGATCATAGTGATACAGATACATTTTTAACCCTTTTTCAGTTTGATCATCATATTGCTTGACACTGTTTACCTTACCATTTTCTGTTTTTAATCTTTCGACAACTTTCGACTGGATATTTTAATTTCACTGGCTTATCATCTAGTGTTACCTTCTCTTTTGAAATGGTTTGCCCAAGGTGCACCAACCTGGACAGTTATGAAATAATGCTGTTATACTATTCTAATTGATAGGGTGCACTAAAGTGTGGTTATGATACTTGTAATTTCCTGTTGCTATACATGATCGAATTGCTCGGCCTATGTTGGGAGATGGGTTCCTATGTGGATGCTTTGATATTACTGGACAAGAGGTGGCTATCTTGCTGCAGTGGCTTTGTTAGATAATGTTCAGGCATTTGAAGCCATGGATACTGGGTTTGAGCTTCGGTGAGAACAACATCACTCACTGGAATTCAGGTACACCCACCTGACGAGTCCCAGATGGGGCAAAACGCGCATCCTCAATCTCTCTGCTGATCACCAAGATCAATATTATACTAAGTTATGTTGATCATCTGAAGAAGAAGAAGAAGAAGAAGAAGAAGAAGAAGAAGAAGAAGAAGAAGCATATTTTGAGTAGTTCGAATTTTTCTTCATCCTAATGAACAGTCATTTTCAAAAGTGTCCAGTTCTTCAAGTGCGACTAGTTAATTGATGATATGAGTACAATGATCATCTGCCAAGCAATAAATAATTGAAATCCTTTAACAGAATTCAAAGTTAGTATCATGATTTCATCATATGTTTTCGTACTAGACACATTACTACTTTATAAGCTTGTCTAATGATGATTATTGTCTTTTTTCTTTAGGTGTCTTAGTTGTTTCATGGTATCCGCATGGTATGTCAGATGATAATGGGAAGCCTGTAGATGACTTGGTATTACCATTGTTGAATATAGCTAATGAGTATGGAATAAAGGTATGTAAGAGGTTTCTTGTTCATATTATGTTTGAGAACATTGTTTGTTTTTTTCACATACTGTGCGCATTCTCGACAAAATGTCAGTGACTTTCATAACGATACATTTCAAGTTACCCTTATAGATCATATTGACCATATTTTTTTGTTTCCTATGGATAGTGATGTGTTTTTTCTTGGTGTTTACCATTAGTGTAAAATTTCAGGAATATTGAATGAAACTATAGTCATATATCAGCAAAGATTTCATATAGTATCAACGATATTTTGTATAATATTCTGTGCAATAGGATATATCAAACTGTTTTGCGCTTATTTGTTTAAAACAAAATTCATAAATAGATGTTCAGTCGATGAATAATATACACTACATGCCTATCAACAAAACTTAGCATAAAAATTAATCGTGAAATCTGTACATTCTACTTTGTTGTATAGTTTTTTGCATTGACCACAATAAGGTTCTTTTCAGAGTAGAAGAAGAGGCTTTTCAAAACTAACAATATTACAATAGCTGAGTTGTTCTTATTCTCCAATCATAGCAGTTTTAATTGATGAAAGAAGATGTCAACTTCTGCGTTTATTACAAATGACTGTTATCAATCATCTAATTCCTACCAACAGTATAATGATTGCTCCTTTTCTCTTTATTATTTCAAACTCGTGTTACTTTTCTTTTCATGGTCTTTCTAAATTTGTCTTCCTCCTGAGGTATGCCGATGATATCATAACTGGTTTAATGAAATCAGACTGTTGAAGCATTCTATATCTTTTTGACCATCTGAGATAGCTGTGGTTTGGCGACTAGTATTGATTCTGGATGATGGTTGAGGGTAAAATGGAAATTCAGGGTCCGACCATCGGGTTTCCCGCCTGATGCTCTACCGATTGAGCTACGAGACCCGACCGCTGAACAGATTTTTACTTCGCTTCAATCACAAGGCAGGGTTTCGCCTGGCTACCATTAGAATTCGTGAAGCGTTACTGCCGCTTGGTTATATTCACACTAGCTGCCTACTCAGACCTTTTCATCTCAACCCAAATGTACCTGAATTACAGAGGGGAAGCATTATATTGATTATGATTTGACTACGATCACTGTAGTGTAGCAGACTAGGCAGCCAGTGTGAATACGACCAGGCGGTAGTAACGAGTCACGAAGTCACATGGTAGTCGGGCGAAACCCCAACTTGGGATTGAAGTGAAATAAAAATCTGGTCAGCAGTCGGACCTCGTAGCGCATCAGGCAGGAAACCCGGTGGTCGCTGGTTTGAATGCCGCCACGGCCCAGATTTTTTTCACCTTCAGTCATCACCCAGAATTTAATATCTACGAAGTGTTCAGAGGGAAGTGCACGAGTGGTTTATACAACATTCTAGTTGTTGCTTGTTGGTTGCGTATTCAGCATTCAGCGCATTCTAAAACAAGAAAGTACTTATTTTTGAATGGTATAACGATGTAAACAGATTATTTTTTTCTTAAATCTCATTTCGAATCCTTGAAGTCATTTATTACTGTAACAAACAATTTAAAGTACTCTGACAGGATATTTTCACAGTAAGTATAGTATTTTGTGAATATCTTAGAGCTTCATATGCCTTTCATGGACATTATGCTTAAACTGATGGTCATCACCGAAAATATCGTGTGATGCATAAACATGGACTCATGAGTATCTCCCAATCTTCATCATGTCTAGTTATTCAAGAAGATAGCAAACAAAGACCTGCTGCATTGTGTACATCAGCGTATTGACTAACTTATACTATGAGACTACAAAACAGTCATTGAAGTTTTAGGAACCTACGAGGAGAATTCACTTGCAGGTAGCCAACAGTGAGGTTCACGTCATGCATTTCGTCCTACTTAAGACTCATCAGCTGGAAATACCTGTCCCACAGTGAGTAATATTGTTTCCAACTAAGACTAGAACTTGGCGACCAGTCGTCTCAAACATCACACACCACCTGCCCACTAGATCAATGAGTTACAAAAATCACTCCTTGAACGACGGGTGTATCATATTTTTGATGTTATACGAGACTAGTCAATTATACTTAGTACTAATTGGAATGTTTACCTTTAGTCAATCCAGAAATCCTCTTTCTCCTGTATAGATTTAAATATGTTTATACACAATCATCAAGCACGTATGTTTGTGAGCTTGAAGAGAGAGAGGCATTCAGAGAGATTCGGGCTATTGCAGTGAATGGTAAAAGAGTCATTTAGATAGTGATCCCCTATTCAAAGAAGAAATGTAAGTAAGAAGGAACAGCAATTATGATAACGTTCTAGTTTTCAATACTCGTCAAACTATATCAATTAAATCAAACTTCCCAGTCACTACTAACATATGTTGGCTTTTAAAACGTGACCTTGTATACGGAAATGAAAACCAATCCTTGAAATTTACTCATCATGTATTCTGACTACTCTAAAGCTGTAATTCACTTCAACTGTTAGTGTGGACTACGTTGACAACTACTCGGTTAAAGCTTTCAGAAAATCTTAATGGTTTATTTCCTCTGTCCATCAAAATATCATAGGCTAGGGGTATGGGTGGGTTGGTTATTCATTGCTCACGTTACACCTCAATACAAATGAGCTGAACTGTGAATTCGAAGAGAATTGTCTTCTCATTGAGACATAATCTTTTATCGCACAGTCTTGTAGTTCTCAGTGTAATTGGCCTGGTTATATGCAGTATTTCGCCTGTTTCCAACACTATTCAAGATAATATTCGCAACTGTATTGGGGTTAATCTTAAGGCTGATCAGCACCATACATCAAAACATTATGGAGTGTAGTGTCTGGTTTATACGCCTTGATCGATATTTTTGGCTTCTTTTCCTCTTTGTATATGACTATGTGAAGTGTAGTAACTTGAACTGGTACACTTCTGTGCCAGGTTCTGTATTTTGAAGACATGGAGATTAAGCTGATTTACTTTCACAAATATTTTCAATCATTAGCTTTATTTGTTTAGCAATAAGATAATTCACAGTGACTGTCGTCTTGCACATTTAAATATTCCATGCATAAACATGTTATGCACCGTGAAGCATGTCACGTGAGAGAATCAACTTCATATTTGTACTTGTACTCGATTTAGACGAGGATAAGAGGACTTGATTGAATAAATGTGGAATGTCAGGAGACTCAAGTGATTATGTGTATCCTTCAGTCTGGTATACTGATAATTTGTGAATGCAGTAGAACTTGGATGTGGTTCATTGGCAGAGTGGGTCTGACGAACATACATCCTATCCACTTCAATCAATGGTGTCTCAGACACCTTAACTTACTTTAACCTACTGAAGCCTCACCAACATCCTCTGAAGTAAGAAGTATTGTTTCAGTAAGCAGATGAAATAACGTTATATGCTGAATGAATACTTCTTTCACTAAAATTTATCTCCACTAAAACTTTTCACCAAATAAGTCGAATATCATAGTCAGGTTAAAAAGAAAATGTTTGTGGAGTAGATAACTTCAGTGTGTTTCTTTTTCTCATGATGTAATCGATATAAAACACGCCTGAACTTAACCTATCGAGTTAGACATTTCGGAGTTCAGTTAAAAATCATATGATGCCATCTTGCATGATGTTAAAACATGCTTAATTTGTCTGGAAGTGAAATTGGAACCTTTGTGAAAAACCATTCCTCTGAATGGATGAATATAGAACGAAGTCACACAAATAAGATGATGATACTTCATTCAGTGTAACCTACATTCAACATTCTATTGAAATGTCGTTCAAGTGTAAATTGTAGAAAATAAAACCACTAGGATAGTTGAACCGTTTATCACGATGTTCTGCCAATACATTTAACTGCCTATATATCGAAGATGCCAGTGATGCATGATTCTTACAATTATCACTGCATACCTGGCTCTGGCTCTATTCTCGCCCTAAGAAAGCAGACGTAATATACGATATGAATCCCTACATACCTGAGAAGAATGCTGCACTTCATACAACGTCATACCAAATAATTGGATACAAAGACACACCCATCATACAAAAAAAAATACGTTAAATACTATCTCTAATTTTTCGTTAACTCACTTTTTTATTAACTCACCATGAAATGAATAGCACTAACGAATGTGATGAGAGACAATGAACATACTCGACTAATTGTTCTCCCCCTTCCTCCATCACACACACACACACACACAAAAACAGTATCTTGGACGAAGAAGATGAAGGAATCACGAGGATAATGAGTGAGTGAGTGATTAAATATTAGAGATTGATGGAGAATTGAAACCATGACAACCCATGTGCACATATACATCCAATAAATATGTGTCTCGAATCTATCTATCTATCTATATATCTCATCATAGGCATGGACACAGCTACACACACACGCACGCAAGGAGAGAGGAATAGGAGAAATAAAGTAGAGTTCAAAGTGATAGAATGGAGTGAGGAGAGAATCTACGAGAAACAAGCAAGAGAATAAAATTACTCCCTATTGAACAGAGGAAATGTTCAAGTATGTAAACATCAAAAATCGTTTATACCTTATCCATATGTGTAAGTTACACCCTAGGGAAGCAGTGGTGAAATGGGTAGATGATATTCTTCCCAATAGTTCAATGTTCAATGTTATCCGTGCTCCCATGAAATAATGATAACAGTGTAGAAATTATTCTATTCATATATAGGCAGTCTATAGAATAATTTAAGAATAATAAGCGTGAAGTAATTAAAAAAAAGTACTTCATCGCATTACATTTATTATAGACAGAAGATAAACTTTAAATCATTTCATTCTTCCTTTTTTCTCCTCTCTATTCCTTTTTATTTCCCAATTATTAATGAAGAACGAACAGCTTTAAGTTAGTTATAACACTTTGATAAAGATATTTACACTAAATCATGAAACTTCAATTAAAACTTTCCAGTTTGGTCTTTTTTATTCATTTAGAAATAAAAGAGCAAACTATCAAATATTTATGATGAGAAATTTTAACGAATTATTAAA